GCCACTTGAGAACTTGGAAGCCCTCCATAAACCCTGACTCAATCTTTCACCTGAATTTGTGTTTATCACCGGTTTTTCATTAGTTTTATCATCTAAAAACAGTCTATGTGAAAATTATAGCCTGGGGAATATAGTCCATAGTATTGTAATAATGTTATATGGTGGCAGATGGTGACTACACATACTGCAGTGAACAATGAGTAATGTATAAAACTGTTCAATCGAATCGCTATATTGTACACTTGAAACAAACACTGTATGTCAACTAAACTTCAATAATAAGAAAAAAGTCTATGATCTAGCTTTGTATCTTTTGAGTTTTATACAAATGAAATCATACTGTATGTCTTACTCTACAGGTTTTTTTTCACTCCAAGTTTGTGAGTTTTGTGGATAATTGTGGTATTTATATTTCTATTCTAGTGAATACCTCCATTATCACATTCTTATGGAACATCTTAGCTCTCCATTTCTTTATTTTTATTTCTTTATTTATTCTGAGAGAGAGAGAGAGTGAAGAGAGAGAGAGAATCTGCACTGCCAGCACAGACCCCCTGTGGGGGCTCGAACTCACCAACCCAAGGACCATGAAATCCTGACCTGAGCTGAAATTCAGAGTCAGCCGCTTAACTGACTGCCCCACCCAGGCGCCTCTCCATTTCTTTAGACAGTATCCATTAGTTCCTTCTAAAAATGAATAAGCAATTAGCATATTTACATTTCCTCCCCTGTAACTCCAGCCAGAAGTCAAGATGCATTGTTATTGTTTTCTTTCTTTGATTTTCAATATGTTCTGTTGATTTCTCCACTTTCACGTTTAGTGCTTAAAAGCGTAAAAATGTACACCATTTATATAGATAAGTGAATTTTGAAATTTTTTGATTCTGTGCCACTAATTTTATACCCCTAAAATCTTCTTGCTTATTTGTAAATTAAATATATGCATTAATGTACTAACTTATTATGGGCAAATCATTAAATCACACACAAAAATAGAACTTTTGAAGGGATAAAAAGCATGTTTTCTTACCTCTCTTCACTGAATTATGATGCACATCCCCTGGGGTATAGGCACTCTTCTGATTTAGATGAACCATCCTCAGTCATTTCAGGATCATGTATCCTTTTGAGGATCAAATTAACATTATGGACTCTAAGAAAAATGCACACATTTCACATGGTTCCAGGCAAATGACAGCTCAGGAGCTCCCTAGAAATTCAACATTGTTGGGATTATAGACACTGCCAACTCCAGAATCTCTCTGTAATAAAAAGAAAAATGAAACATAATGGAGCCATTTGACAAGATTCAAGCATCGTGGTCAAACTAACCCTGTGTGATTAAATATATAACACAACTTGTTTAAGATCATCTCTCCAACAGTTGCATGGTTGAATGGAGAGATCTCACAATTCTTATATTTATCTTCTCTACTGTCTCCCTCTCCTTTTCGGTCCTGTTCTCCCTCTCTCACCTTCTTCCTCTTCCTCTCTCCTTCTCTCTTTCTCCTTGTTCACTTCCCTTTACTTTGTCTTCCTTCTCCTCTCACCCCAAAATAAACTCTCCAAAACCCAGGATTAGATTCACTTCAACAAATGTGCTCCACCTACTGGTACTTTAAAGAATTTCATATTTGAATACAATTTGGGAAACTGGAAACACTATCAGATACCTTAATAGAAATTATTTTATCACCTAAATTTTAGTACCTCAGAAGATCTTGGTAATTTAGGGACTAAGATCATTTTTAAAAATCTAAACTTAATATGTGATTTATCAAACATATTTACATAGAACATGTATTATTTTAATGTCTTCTCATATGTAGAAACACAGTTCCTATACAATATTTTAAATCTTATTACAATCATATCCAACATGTCCCTTTTGATTTCCTTCTTCCCTGTTCCATTTGCCTCAGGAGCCGCTTCTCGCCATCCTTCCCTGACTCCTCTTCCCAAGCTCATTTCTCTGTCCCCAGATCAGTCTCTGACTTTCCTTTCTTATTACATACACTGTATGCACTTCCTTGGATGACTCCCCTTCTTTAACATTTTCAATTATCGCCTTTACACAAATAATTGGTAACTATTCGTTTCTAGACTGGACTTTCCTCCTGAACCTTAGACCGGCATCTCTAAAAACTGGCTTGCAGGCACGTCAAGATCATCAAAACTGCTCTCCTCTTTTGTTAATGGCATCTAACCTGTTCCAGTTATTCAACGTGTTTGAAGAACCCACCTCAAGTTTAATGACATAAAACAGCAACCATTTTACTATGTTCCCAGATTCTGTGAGTCAAGAGTTCTGACACAGCATGGTGGGCTTGTGTCTGCTCCACACGCTGGGGCGGCCTCTGAGAAGACCGTCTTGCCATTACAAGGAAGATACGTATTTCCTTCACATTTCTACAAAGGAGTGGGAGGTAAAGATGAAAAGTAGGCCCTTATTCTTTGTTTCTTAGAAATATTCACTTTCTTTTTAAATACTACACTCATGTTAAATAACAAAGAAGATCAAGTTCATAATAAGGAATAAAAACTACTTCCAGCAGAAGTTAATTTGTATTGATATAACTTAAAACATTCTTTGAGACTCTCTACTGAAATTTTTAAATAAAATGCAACTTTAACTACAAGAAAATGATAAGTGAGGTTGAAATTTTGCATATTAAACTTCTTAGAAAGATGTTGAACAGCAGGCATGGGACATTCTGAAAGCCTCAGGCTGCCTCAGCAAATCAGAAAAGGGAAGCAACTTTGATCCGACCTGCATTTTATCTACAGAGGTATTATTCCCTTGCTGTTAAATAGAGTCATCCAACAGGTGCAAATTTATTTATAAACTTGAATTCAATACCTCCCTAATCATTTCATAAGCAAACGCAGCCATGACGGAAGAGTCGATTTTGCAACTCTAAACAACTAGCAAAGCCTAAATGACTTTCCTAAATGACTCTATTTGTGTCAGCTCATTGAAACCATGGCGGATTGAACTGTGCCAACGTCTGTTCAAGCGTGTTTTGAAGTATGAACTGAATTAATAGGTGACACATTCTTTATAATACTGATTACTGATGAATGAGTTTAACTTCTAGAATCAAAACCAAGTACATTGACTGGAAGGTTGAGGGGCAGTTTACTCTGCTGGTAAGCTAATGTGTATCTGGTATGAAACGACCTATAGAAACAGGTCTGTGAGGTTTTGCATGTACAGCATATGACTTGGTTTCAGGCAACAATCCTAAATTTAGTCAGCTATTTGTAAATGTCCAAGCTCTATTTAAATGTGCTAATTTAGGTTAATTATGAGATTGGAATTTTACAGTACATGTGTGTTTCTTTAGGAAGAAGGATCACTTTTTTTAAGTGTGGGATTTCAAATACATAGTACTTGTGGCAAGAATAATAGAATACATCCCTGAGAAATATTTCTAAATGGGTTTTGAGAGATGCATACAGGAAAGTTCTGTTTTCAAAGACTAGGAGTAATTTATATAGAAAGCCAAGTGATACTAAGCCTGCAATATGTTGCAAAATAGTGTTGGATGGGTTAACAAGTCACTCACAAGGTAGCAGGCAGGCGTTATGAATTAAGGGATGAGCCACCTTAAATATTTTGTAGTAAGTGTAGTATACATTAAATGATTATGTGAATACAGACTGAGGTGAAAGCAATACTAAAGATAAAATGTGCTGAAGGGGTAGAGATGGATTCCAAGGAAAGTTCTTGGAAGTCTCAACTGGTTATGGAAGAATGGACAGAAGCATAAGAGATTCCAAGCAGGGGTTGCAGCAGCCTGACTAAAGGCCGGATGGGAGATTTAGGAAATGTTCAGAAAAATAATGAGTGGTGGGCATGAAGTCTGAGGCTAAAGGGCAGGGGAGGAATGTAGAAGAAAAGGTAGAAAGGAGGGGCTTGGGGTCAAATGGTGGATAGCTTTGAATGTCAGGTTGAGTTTAGCATCTTTTCTGTAGAACTGGGGGGGTGGTTAGAATATTTGAGAAAGGCAGTAGTCATAGAATTTGGGGAAGTTATTGTGAAGGGAGAGAGTGGAGGTCCAAGTGTCCAGAGACAGGGCACTGGAAAAAGTTCAAGTAAAAGGGAACAGGGCCCAAAGTAGAGTGCTGGCAGGGGAACGAAGATTGGAAAACCAAGAAATATGTCAAAGGGATACTCAACAGGATTTGATTAGATTAGTGCAATGATGGAGGGAAAGAGCCAAATCTACTTGGTGGTTTGGGGATCTAATTCCCTTCCCCTTGAATCTGGAGCTGGCCTTAGTGATACACTGGTAACCAATGCACTTTAAGGAAGTGACACCACCTAACCTCTGGGGCTAGATCAGAAACTGCCTCTGCCTTGTTCAGTGGAATGTGTTCTGAACCTGCGGTAGGTTACAAACCAAACCAACCTAGTCGTTGAGTTGGCCCAGCCTAGGCACAGACGTGTCAGAGGATTCCTGTCTGGATGAACTGTAACAGCAAAAGACACGTGGAAGGAGAGATTGTAAAGGAACATTGTTTGGCCTTCTAATATGATGCTCTTTAGCATGCAGAAGTTTTTCTCTCATTAAACATTCAGTTGAATAGGTGGGTAAGCAGAGTATAGTGATGGATGTAAAATAGTGGTTAGAAATTTGCTCCAAGGCATTTACATGCCATTCCTCAAATTTCCATCCCTTATGACCACTGATATGCATGTATATAAGACACCAGCAGTTAGGTGTTCACACCATTTGGAGGTACACTTTGGGCCTCTAGTAGACTCAGAATAAACAACAATATGGATTTAAAAGAGAAGTTCATTTTGAATAACAGCAGAATGATCTATTTTCCAATAGTTATGCAATTCTGTTTTTTTCCCATAGTCTCATCTGTAAGAGGAATACAAGGTAATTGAAGAGTATGAAAAACTGATACCCTGAAATTTTGAAATTTCATCTTAGTCAAATGCACAGACCCTGACAGCTCTAAATACAACTAAATAGGCTAGCAGATCTATATGATAAGGGTATTTTTATTGTACAAGGTGAACTGAGGTTTATTTGAACATTTGTTCCTATATGCCTATATATTTTTTTCATTTAATCAGCTTTATTGAAGTATAAAACACATACACAACAAAATTCCATGTTGTTCAGTGCCAAGGTCAATGAGTTTTGATAAACGTAAACAGTCTGGTAACCACTGCCACAATCAATATATAGAATGTTTCCATCCTCTCAAAATACTCCTTGGTTCCCTTTCACAGTCAATTGCCCAGCCCTAGCCCCGGCCACCACTGATGCGCTTTCTCTTGTACAAGTTTTGGCTTTTCTAGGTTTTCACATACTGTAGTCATATAATGAGTCTTCTTTTGTGTCTGGCTTCATCCCCTTGGCATAATGCTGTTTTGCTATTCACCCGAGCGGTTGTTCCTTTTCACCGATGAGTAGTATTTTCATATACTGATAAATCATCCTTTGTTTATCCAGTCGTCTGATGATGGGTATCTGTGTTGTTTCTAACTTTGGGCTATTGCGAATAAAGCTGCTACAGAAATCTGAATGCAAAACTTCTATTTTTCTTGGGTAAAATACCTAGGAATGAGGAATGATGGTTTTAGTACTAAAAAATATTTATCTTCCCTGTATCAATTACCCCTAAAAAATGAAAAATAGAAACATTTTAGTCATATTTCATAAAATTTATCAGCAGATCTGTTGGAAGACAGCTGAAGAGTCCACACATTTCCCAGCTCTAAAATCATACACAATCACGTACATTTAACATCTTCCAAGATAATTATTAATAATATGTAGGAAGACACTATTCCTTACAAACTTCAATATGAGTAAAATAAAATGCACTCATATTATATGAACAAAGAAGACACACCAAGAATTCTGTTGTGATTTTCTCGTAAGAACAAAGAGCTGCAAAATCTCTAATTTAAAAAGAGGACAACTTTAATCAGTCCCTCTTACAAAGAAATATGTTTATAAAATGCCTGCATGCTTCTCACACTAGTTACGTTGACTTTACTTAAGGAAGGAAAATATTTCTCACTTTCCAAATGAGAAACATTTCCTAACTAACAACATTCCCGGGGTTGTTTTTAGTCTAAATTTGCATATAGGAATGTCTGGAATAGAAAATTTTAAATATCAGACTCCAGGATTATAAGCTTTCACATTCAAAAGTGCAGAGAATTCAACATTAACAAAACAGTTCTACAAAAATCAGAGTTACATCTTAGATGTCCCTTATTTAAATAACAGTGACGTCACTTTAGAGTTAACAATTATAGGGAATTATTGAATTGTAACACATGCAGAGATTTAGAAAATTTCAAGTGTTCCTAAATATCATTATAAAAATAAACATTTTACAATATTATGATCTCCAGAGAAAGACATATAAAGGTTATGATCAATGAAACTTCAGTCATGACAAAGTAAACGTTTTACTTTCATCTCAAGTTGCTTTTCTAAAATTGTTATGAAGTCTCAACTCACTGAATTAATGAAAATAAAAGTTATCCCACCACAGATTTTTGGCGGCAGAAACTAAAACTTTAAAAAATACATAAAACAAAAATAGCATGAGAAGTTTCCTGACACACATTATATTTAGATTCCCTTAACTCAACACTTGGAAACTCAATTTTGTATTTTGTAAACTAGTCATACAAAATGATTCTAAGAGCATAAATGAGGTTTTTATCAACCCGTTGACTCTGACAAGCTGCCGTACCACCACCTGTCGCTGGCAGCATCCACGACAAACTTGTAGTACTTAACACACTTCAGCGCCTGCCAAGGAAGCCAACTGCAGAGAGGAGGCTGGAGCTTAACCCACAGGTTATTCACTGCCACACAGTGGCAATGGTGCGGGCCTATGGGATGGGGCACACTTTCTGTCCTAAGCTCCAGGCCGGGCACTCCACCTGCATTAATGCACCCAGTCTCTCGGATGGCGCAGGACTTCCAGAATTTCCGCTTCTTTGGAGTTCTCTGCGGGTGAATGCATGTACTCCCATCTGTACAGGTCCAAAACAAAAGCAAAACATGTGATAATAATAACAATAATAAACAACACACATACCTTTTTAAATAAGTGAACGCTAAAATTCTAAGAGTAAAACATTTCTTGCACCTCCTTGTCTCCAATGTACCAAACAGGCCTTTTACACACTAGGCTTTTTAAAAATATTTGCTGCTAGGGGTGCCTGGGTGGCTGAGTTGGTTAAGTGTCCGACTTCATCTCAGGTCATGATCTTGCTGTTTGTGAGTTCAAGCCCCGCGTCAGGCTCTGTGCTGACAGCTCGGAGCCTGAAGCCTGCTTCGGATTCTGTGCCTGCCTCTCTTTCTGCCCTTCCCTTGCTTGTGCTCTGATCTCTCTCTCAAAAATAAATAAATATTTTTAAAAATGTCTTAAAGAATATTTGTTGCTAAAAAATGAAATATTAATAATTCCTGAGCATTCTTTGGCTAATATTAACACCTCAAAATACACTTTTACTAGAAACCAAGTTTCATAAAATACAGAACCACAGATGATCCATGGGCAAACTTTTTTTAGCTTACTATTTATTCACTTATTTTAATGTGTTACTTTCTATTTATGGCAATAACATCGGTTTGCTTTTTTAAATAAATTCTCAGAAAAAATAAGAGTATAAAATGTAAGTGAATAATACCTCAGATAATATACAAGTATAGTCAAAATGGCTAAGTTGTCGTATCAAGTCTGGCAAACACTGGTTTAGACCAGGGGTTAGCAAATCTTTCCTACAAAAGGTCACATATTAAATACTCTATTTTTATTTTTTAAATTAAAAATAATTTTTAATTATTTTAAAATAATTTTTTTTAATGTTTATTTTTGAGAGACAGAAGACAAGCAGGGGAGGGGCAGAGGGAGAAGGAGACAGGATCCAAAGCAGGCTCCAGGCTCTGAGCTGTCAGCACAGAGCCTGATGAGGGGCTTGAACTCACGAATTACGAGATCATGACCTGAGCTGAAGGTGGATGCTTAGATGCCCCACATAAATACTTTAATTTAGGCTTTGTGGGGCCAGGTACAATTAAAAAAAAAAAAAAGAATACAATATTCTTCTTTGTTTTTAATAATCCTTTAAAAATGTGAAATTCATTCTTAGCTCAAGAGCTGTACAAAAACACATCACAAGTGGCCTTGGATTCACCTTGCCCTCAAGTTTGCACACCCTTGGTATAGACTAGAAGCTAAAAGTGACCTGTCAACTATTCAAATAGTGATTTATAATCTACCCAGATTGCACCTTAAGATGTACCTTATAATTAGGGGCCAGCAGTAATCAGGAGGACTACCTGAGGCCTTAAGAACTTATCTCTAGTTTTGGGGCACCTGGGTGGTTCAGTCAGTTCAGCTCCTGACTCTTGATTTTGGCTCAGGTCATGATCTCACCATTCGTGAGATCGAGCCCCGCACCAGGCTCCACACTGACAGCGCAGAGCCTGTTTGAGGTTCTCTCTCTCTCTGCCCCTCCCCTACTCATGCACATGCATGCATAGGCTCTCTCAAAAATAAACATTTAAAAAAAATAAAAAGAACTTATCTCTACTTTTTATTCACATCTCATGTCTAGGGTGGCAGGAACACCTAACAGTGATATGCATGAGCTTTCAGCTAAGGACATGAGATCCTAAGAGCAGTTACACAAGGACAGAGCCAATGTCACTGAAGACAGTGACAACTATACCGGGTACTAATCTCACCAGGCTGGATCTGGATGGCAGAATGCGGCAAGGCAGACCTTTAGTGCCATCCAGGAACCCATTCTTTTTGGACATTTATACCCATAGAGAAAAGATTCTAGTTCCTATAAAACAAGCAATGGTAATTTTCTTTTTATCTTTTCTATTTAGTCTAGACACACATCATTCTTACTTTCTCATACACAAAATGTCAACTGTAGATCTTTATTAACCTAATAGCACCAACATAAATATATGTCTTTACTTATTTATTTTTTGATGTATCTGTCTTTAACCCCCCCACCCCCACTCACATTCTCAAGTAACCTTTCTGGAAGCTCACCACAGCAGCATGTAAAGCACAGAGAGAACACAGAGCACTTGCAACAATCCCTCATACTTTCACACAAGCTTGTTACTTCATAGTGGAGAGTAAGACTCCTCACGGGTGTAATAACTTCTGACAAAATTAAGTTGAAAAACATGACATACTCAAATAAATTTGCTTTGCCCATAGCTCTTCCTAGAAAATTACCAAGTGGGTAAGGTTATTCTGGGCCCCTAGATACCATCATTGACCTTATCTTCTCACTCCTTCTATACTTTCCCAGCCCTCACCCACAGAACCGTATCATTCATCTTGCCATTCATTCTTTAAAAAAAAAAAATTTTTTTTCTTGGTGCCTGTTTGGCTTAGTTGGTTAAGTGTCCAACTCTTTATCTCAGCTCAGGTCATGAACTTATGGTTTGTGAGATAGAGCCCCTCGTCAGGCTCTGTGATGGCAGCACAGAGCCTGCTTGGGATTCTCTCTTTCCCTTTCTCTCTCTGCCACTCCCCAGCTCTCTCGCTCTCTCTCAAAATACATAAACAAACATGAAAAAAATTTTTAATAAAATTAATCTTCCTTAATTATTTGACTGTGATATAATTATAAAATCAGCAATATCAAAACAAATGAAGTCTTTAGGTAAGACGCTTGCAGTATTAATGTTTGTGTTTTGTAGGGGTTAGCAGATTGGGAGTGGAGGAATACTTATTATGATGAGGCATTCTTACCGAGCTGTTAGAGGTAAAGACATCAAGATGCTTTCGATCCTGGATCCTGGAGTGAAGAGGCCAAACTTCGTACCTCGATCATACACAAGGTTAAATTCTACATACCTGACATAAAGACAACAAATAACATTAAGGGCCAGTTGAGTAAAATCTTTCTTAAGATTACCCTATAACAAATACCTCAAGGGGACCGGGGGCGGGGGTAGGTGTGACTTCTTCCTGCCCCTCCCCCTCCTAATTGGCTGAACTGGCACAGGGACCACCAGTCTACAGCCAGTTGAGTCTTCTCCATCTGGCCAGGCATAAATAAAAGCGCATTCTATCCAACAAACAATAGGATATAGATTTGGCCCTAACATGACACAGTTACAAAACAAGAAGGTTATGTTTTCCAATAAATAAACAGAACAGAACAAAGCTGACAGCTTTTAAGGCACAAAAACAATTAAGAAAAAGAAACAGCACCCTTTATTAGAATAGAACAGCTCTTTCTGGCCTTCCCCCATGATCTGAGATGTTTCAGAAGACCTCATTTTACCACCTATAGCTTCTATATACTAAGATGGTGCAAAACTTTCATAACTTAAAGGCCAAGCACAGCCAACAATCTATTAGTAATTACTAATATATTCTAGATATTCCCTTTTCTTAAAGTAATTGATAGAACAGATAAGTAGTCATATGATTCAGTCTTCCTGCAGATTAATGGCAATCAAAATAAAAAGCAATGGTTGGGTTGCAGGGCTCAATTTTATTTTTCTTTATTTTTAGAAAAAAAATTTTTTAATGTTTTATTCATTTCTGAGAGAGGGAGAGACAGAGAAAGCATGAGCAGGGGAGGGTCAGAGAGAGAGAGACACAGAATCTGAAACAGGCTCCAGGCTCTGAGCTAGCTGTCAGCACAGAGCCCAACCCAGGGCTCGAAGCCACAAACTGAGAGATCATGACCTGAGCCGAACTCGGACGCTTAACCGACTGAGCCACCCAGGCGCCCCTCAATTTTATTTTATTTATTTTATTTTTTATTTTTCTAAGATGTTCCTTAACATCAACTAAAACTTGGTTTGGTAAATTTGTTTTCCATTAACTGCCAAGGTGTCAGATCTAAACTCTGTCTAGCTGAAAAAAATCTGTGATTGGCTTTAACATCATGGGATCTCTTGTAAAAGGTCATTTAAACTTCAAAGAGAATTTTTACTACTCATAAGAATTTAGAATGATCCATACAACTGAAAATTCAGTGAATAGACCCCTTTTCAGATCATTTTTCAATTCATTCAGAAACCATTTTCTTGGTCTAAACTTCCCTCAGGGGGCACCTAGGGGGCTCAGTCAGTTAAGCGTCTGACTTGGCTCTTGACAGCTCAGGTCATGACCTCGAGGTCTATGAGTTCAAGGTCCCCATTGGGCTCTTTGCTGACAGTTCAGAGCCTGGAGCCTGCTCATTTGTTTACCCACTGGTTAGTCTTTAATCACACCTGTAGGAAGATATTCTCTAGAATTCCACAGCACTTAAATTTTTAGAAAACACTCTTCTGTGTGCAAACTTGCCAAAGGCCTTGAGAAAATTTAAATGCATTTTATCAATGGACCCCTTTTTATTCCTCAGCATTTATTTATCATGGATTGAACTGTGTGCATTTATAACTGTTTAATACCTTCTTATATATCTGTTTCAAAAGATAATTTAAGTGAAACTTCTTAATTTCCTCCTTGCTAAGAACATGGAAAAGAACTGGTCTCTCAGACACCTTTTTCATCCCAATGCTGACTTTCTGAAACATGATCTTTAATGGGTGGCTGGGATTCTCTAGTTTGTACTGATGTCTCTTTCAAAGATTCCTGTATGGAACTCCCGAAATGAATTTTCTGTAAGGATCCTTGAACTGCTTTCCTTTTTTGAGTGAAGGATGCCCCTTTCCTGACATTAGCTTCTCTGACTCCTACCAGGTTTCACGTAGTTCAGATCTTGTTGATCCTTCCCATACATTTATCCTCCCTGAGGTGCCTGTAAACCATTCCCTTTAACTTAACAAATGCCTAAACTTTATCTTGTTTCCCTTTCCTAAAATACAACAAAACAACAGTAAGTTAAAGATTTTTTTGTTTCCTGGGTACCTAGCTGGCTCAGTCGGAAGAGCACTGACCTTGGGGTTGTGAGTCTGTTGGTGAGTCCGTTGGGTATAGAGATTATATACATACACTTTTTAAAAATAATTAAAATTTAAAAAAAGACCTTTAGTTTCTGTTCTCTCATGAAAAAGAAGGCTTTAAGAGTCAAGTTCAATGTCTGGGGAGAGAACAGTATAAGTGGGGAAGAGACTAAAGGAAACTGCCAGTAAGTGGTTAAAGTCAAAAAGGAAGCAGCCTGACCAGAGCAAGGGGAACTCCTCCTTGCAGTGGAAGGAAGAGGAGCAGGTATAACGTGTGAAGGATGCAGATAGGGCTCTGAGTGCAGTGTGTAAGAAGAGGAACACAATGCTGACAACTGCAGTGAGGGGTTGGGCTTATCTGAAGACCCAGAGTTTACTGCCATCTTAAGGCCCAGAGATACGGGGGTGGAAGGAGGTTCTCAGTGAGAAACACTCACATGCCGCATCACACAGAAAATTCATCTAACACCCCACACTCAGAGCTAACTCAAAAAATACCCGATGCGCAAGGATTCGCACAAATGAAACTCTCAAAATGTCCTGTCATTACATAATGAAGAAACAAAAAACAAAAGAACACAAAACATTATTCCTATGTCTAAGAAGTTGTAAGTCTTCACCTCATTAGTATTCACAAAACCTGCCAGCTTTGCACATCAAATCCTAAGCAAAAGTAGAATATTGTACTTTCTGGGGGGGTGGGGGTTGCAAATTTTCATTAGCTATTTATTTATTTAATATATAATTAACAGTGCTATATTGGTTTCGGGTGTGCAACATGATTTAACAATTCTATACTTTACTCAGTACTCACTACCACGAGTCTACTCTTAATCCCCTTTCCCTATTTCAGCCATCCCCCCCATGACCTCCCTGATGGTAACTACAGAGACTTGTCACTCTCTGTACGTGAGTCTGTTTTTCTTGTTTGTTCCTTTTTGACTTTGTTCATGTGTTTTGTTCCTTAAATTGCACATATTATTCAGTCATAAAAAAAGAATGATTAGCTTAGAGCCACATGCAACAACATGGAGAGAGTTGGCGTGTATCATACTAAGTGAATTAAGTCAGTCGGAGAAGTGCAAATACCATAGGATTTCACTCATATGTGGAAGTTAAGAAATCAAATGGCATAGAGTTTTAAATTATCCACTTAGGTATGCCTTTCCCACTAAACCGTGAACTTTTCTTTTCACAGCTGTTCTTTTCACTATATTCACATTTGTAGCTAGAATAGTGCCTAGCCATAAGAGTTGCATAATAAATATCAAGGAAATGAAAACAGGAAGGAATAGTAAAAGTATATTTGAGAAATCATGGGATCAAAAAAAGAGTCCCAAAACAGACACATTAAGAAACTTATAAAAGAAAACTTAATTAACTTCCATTTCCCCAAATTTCTAAATAAGGACCAGATAATACAGGTCTATAAGAAAAAATAAACACAAATATTTCTCTTTAAACTTGAAACATTATTTAGTTGATCTTTTCAGGGACTAGCTTTACCTCCTCAAGCACTGAAAGTTTTATTTGCCTGAGACAGAATTAACATAAACGAGAAAATCCATGATACAGCCACAGACCAGTACTATACATGCAGTTAAGATGGCAGTCAGAAATTGATGTGAGTGGGCAGGGTGGATCATTTGGAGTTGATCCGAAGTATACCTCAGGTGAAGATGACCTCAGTGTGGTCACCCAATTAAGCTCACCACATTCGATGCACAGAACAGAGTGGCTGAGGTTGAGTATCTAGTAAGAAATACAAACCTGCTTCAACTACTTAACTTCCTTCACGTATGAGAAAGGTTACCAGTCTTGAGGTCATGATGACCTGCTTCCACGTCTGGGATCTTTTATTTACTAGCTGTGTAATCTTGGGCAAGAGACTTACATTTCAGGGAGTAAGTTTTATCATCTATAAAATGAGGATTATTACACCAGTCTCACAGGTTTGTAAAGAAAATCAGATGCAATCTGTCTAACCTATTGGCTGGCACACAGTAAGAACTCCATAATTAATAAATATTACCATTAAGTATAAAAACTTTCTGAAATGGTTATTTCCATTATAACAACTTCCATGAAACCTTAAAATGGATGGAAAAGTGTGGGGTTCCAAATCTACAAAGCAGCAAAAACATTAAATGATGCCCATATCTTGGCATAAGGCTGGAAGGCACTGCCAGAAGACTAAAAGAAACCAGCTGGGGGCGCCTGGGTGGCTCAGTCGGTTAATGTTCGACTTCGGCTCAGATCATGATCTCATGGTTCGCAGGTTTGAGCCCTCCATCAGGCTCTGCTGACAGCTAGCTCAGAGCCTAGAACCTGTTTTGCATTCTGTGTCTTCCTCTCTCTCTGACCTTCCCCTGTTCATGCTGTCTCTTGCTCAGAAATAAATAAAACATTAAAAAAGAAAATCAGCTGGATTAAATTCAACAGGTACCAATACATGGCTCCTGTGAATCTAACGTACAGACGAATGAAATAAACCTTGCTGTTTTTATAATACTATTTCACACAAGTCTTAATATTCATTTAATATTCACCTAGTTATAAAAAGAAGTTCGAGTTAGTGTTACTACAACTCTTAACAAAGGAACTGCCCAAGACAACACACCACCGCCCATTCATTCACCCACCACGGCTACTCTACCCTCCTCCACCCCACGTCATGCAATAAGACAGTCTACTCTCCTGTAGACTGTCACTCACCGTCCTCTCCGCAGCTGCTGCCACAGCTTCTCCTGGGGGGTGAATGAGTCATCACAGTGTTTCTTCACAAGAGGAATATATGAAGGAACCACAGCCTGGGCGCAGCTCTGCACGAAGCGAAACACTTCTTCTTTGGATGGTGAGTCAAGGTCATCAAAAAAGATGCCCCCGATGCCTCTCCGCTCCCCACGATGGACAATAAAAAAGTAATCATCACACCTGGAAAACACAGCAAGGCTATGTCAGGGATCAAAGGGAGGAAAAAGAGGCACAAAAATCAATGTGAGGATTTCAGCTTATCCTTGTCTAATGCCAAAGCAGCATCCTTACTTTTATGCCCAACTGTGAAAATGAAACTAGGGCTTCAGACAGAAGAAACATTTGTAGAAAATGCTTACGCTTTCATCTGCAAAGCGAGGACTATAACACATATCTAAAGGAGGTGGAACTCTAAGAACTTCAATGAAAAAGAAACAAGAGTCCAGTATTAATAGTGTATTTTTTATTTACTTACTTTGAGAGAGAGTGCATGCATGCTCTCTTGAGCACGAGCAGGGGAGGGGCAGAGAGAGAGGGAGAAAGAGAATCTTAAGCAGGCTCCATGCTCACCATGGAGCTGGATGCAAGGCTCGACCCCATGGCCCTGGGATCATGACCTGAGCTAGAATCAAGAGTTGGACGCTTAACTGACTGAGCCACCCAGGCGCCCCAATAGTGTATTTCTTAAAACAAATGATGCTGGGGCGCCTGGGTGGCTTAGTCGGTTAAGTGTCCGACTTTCGCTTAGGTCATGATCTCGCGGTTCGTAGGTTCGAGCCCCACATCGGGCTCTGTGCTGACTGCCAGCTCAGAGCCTGGAGCCTGTTTCAGTCTGTGACTCCCTCTCTCTCTGACCCTCCCCTGCTCACGTTGTCTCTCTCTCTCTCTCTCTCTCCTAGAAATAAATAAAACATTAAAAAAAAATTAAAAAAAAAACAAAAAACAAATGATGCTGCTGCCTTCAGCAGCACTGGAGCCTTTGCAAGAGGCAGGACAGGAATCCTCTACCAATACCAGCAACCAGGTCTGACTGGGCGCCAACCCTTCAGCTCTCAAGTCGGGTCCTTATTCGCCAAAGGAAGCACAGCAAATAATCTCTAAGGTTCCTTTCAGCAACACAGTGTGGAGGCTTCATAGTCTGCACGACTGAGGGAGGGGCCAGTGAAAGGAGACGTTCAGAGAACGATCACGGACATGTGAAAGGTGCCCCTGGGAGCCTGCACATGCAACTATCAATCTGTCCCGAGTCTTTCGCTCTTCTGTGCCCACTAAAGCAGGTGTCCCAAATGTCATTTCCTAAATGCTCAATTTGTAGAACAGTTTACTTTGTGGAAACAGCTTTCTAGATGAGCTCTATAAATAGAAAAACCTGTACAAAAACTAAATGCTATTTAAAAGGTTCCATTAAAAATAGACTTAATAGCTTAAACCAACAAAACTAAACAAAACAAAACAGACAAAAAACAAAATCGGCAGCAGATGCAAATCGCTAGAACAGATGCAGTGGTATAATTCACCTTGACTGTTATTTGTTGACTTCCTTCACAAGCACATTTTATTAACATAGTTGAAGCCCATCTTGGCAAGGCTGTGAAGTCAGCTTTAACCACTCACACTATTTCAAAATCATCAAGAAATTAAGAAATTTGCTAAATACTTATATTAAAAACTTCTTTCTTTTTAATTAGCTGCATCCTAGATGTCTTAGTAACTAATTTCACTCAGATAAAGTTATCTCAATAATGGCAATAAAAGAAAACCAAAAAAAGAGAATGTCATCCAAACCAGTCCTCTTCCCGGAAGGATGCTGATTTGTGAGAGAAAAAAAAATCCCTCCATCTTAATTTCATGCTTCCATGGTGTGCAATTTTCATTGGTAATATCAATCAAAAGGAGAATATATCTTTTCTGAGGATTTTGAAGCTGAACTCCCTACTCTTCATAAATAATATCAAGATTTCACAATTATTAGCTCTAAAAGGAATGCAAACAACAACAGAAAACAAAAAACACCAAAATATCTTCTGTTCTTCCTTTTTCAAGAATGTCAATTAGCTGTAGGCAGAGCTTTTATTCCAAACAGTTAATGCCTAGACTCCATTTCAAATCTGCTAAATATCCTGGATCTCCTCACAACTTACTTGTTTCCCTTTTCTTTATAGTTAGAGTTTCCTTAACAAAGTTTCCAATCCCAGTCTTCTCCTTGTCCAAATCTCTGGTATATCTGCATCTTTCCCTAGTCATTCTCCGACCCTTCCCATGTCCTAGTATTTCCATAGCAACAACAGTTCTCATCTAGGATGAGACATTAAAAGTCTATCCCAGGATTAAAAAGACTCTAATTTATATTCTAAATCATTTGGGATCAAACAATATGCTGCTACCCAATTATTCAAACATTCCTAAGTAAATAACATAATAAAACCACTTCAAATTGGTATCCTACTTCTGGTGGACAAAGAAAACAGATCAACCTTCATAAGCTGAAAAACGTATTCAGTGACATAATATTGCCTTCAGGATCCACAGAAGGAAGGAACAGAATATATTTTAGGTGTTATGATACCCTTACCTACCATTTTTTAAATTTAGGGTAGAGATCAGGACCATGCTGGTCACAAGCCTCCTTTAGAGTTCTGTGAAAATGGACAGCATCCTCATGGTTCAAGTACGTTGGAGTAAGGTCACATCCACCACCAAACCACCACAGCTTGTTACCTACAAAATCAAGACATGTGATTATCATGCAGACTTTGGACTTTGAGATGTTGCACACTACTCAATGTATTAGAAAACTTAATTTATCAGCTTAGTTTATTAAATATAAAGTGGGTGACAATCAAAACATATTTAGGGGCACCTGGGTGGCTCAGTAGGTTAAGCATCCAACTTTGGCTCTGGTCATGATCTTACGGTTCATGGGTTCAAGCCCTGCATCAGGCTCCATGCAGACAGTTCAGAGCCTGGAGCCTGCTTCAGATTCTGTGTCTCCCTCTCTCTCTCTGTCCCTCTCCTACTCATACTCTGTCTCTCTCAAAAATAAACAAACAATAAAATATATACATAAATATATATATCTAAATTTATCTCTGAATGGCCAATAAAGCCTAAGAGGAAGAAAAGGGAAAAGAGGTAGGAAATCAAAAAGTGAGAGAGTAGATCCAGGCAGGAAAATGTTAGGCACAGCAGTGATGATGAAACACCACATGGGTGGACCAGGAATGGCTGCATATTAAATCACATAAGGAGCATAAAATGCCTCTGCTGGGTCACAATTTAAACAACAATAACAACAATAAAAAACAAAAACAAACCACAAGCAAATCTCTGGCCCAGGTATCTGCGTTTACAAAAATTCCCCAGGAGATTCTGATGTCCCCTGTATTAAAAACCACTGCCCACACTGCCTTAACCCCAGCAAAGGGCAAAAACACTTACAGAGGGACACAACTAACCATTTGAGAATAACTATTACATGTGTTTAGTTGGGTCTATAGGTTGTCAGTACCAGTTACCAACTTCTAACATTGAAAGGTTGAACCAAACTAAATGTCTTCAAAATCAAAGTTAAATACATCAACTTTAAATACCACCAGCTGCAGAGAAACCACCACCTGTAGAGCGGCCCTGCACAGACACTCCGCCAGGTGGTAACAGTACATCCGGCTAATTTGGAGACATGGGCTGGAACTACATGTCCTTAATGAGGCATGATCAACTCCACTGTATCTTAAACCCACTGATAACACATGCTGGTGACTAGCAGAGCAATACACGTGGAAGATGTTTTCACATTTTCACAAAAGCAAGTTCTCCATTTCCATTTAACCTTGTATATGAGGTTTTCCTTTGCATTTCCTTTCCTGTGCAAAGAACCCGGTATGCACTTTGAAGCTGAGGTTCATTAAATCATTTCTTCTGCATTGGAAGGAATATGGGGAACTTAGTTCAGAGCCCAGCCAATGCTATTTTCACTTTACCCTCTCGTGCATAATAAATTGCAGCTGCCAAGGAATAAGGCTTCATATGCCTCCTGAAAAACTCGTTAAGATTTATATATCCTTTCTCACATTTAGATTATGCCCCCTGGCTTTTTTTAAAATACACAGTATTTGCACAATAATATTTTGCACAGCTCCAGGGATGCTTACCATCAGCTTCTTCTACCTCAAAGTATCTGTAGTTGAAATGGATAGTAGGAGCATGAGGATTCTTGGGGTGAATGACAGAGCTCACACCCATAGCAGAAAATGGCAATTTACCTGGAAAGCAAAACATGTAGTGAGCTCCACTCAGTCACCGGGCTTGAATAACTCCAACATGGTTTCAGGACCAATTTTGAAAAGCTGTTTTTTGTCTCTTAAAATAGAATTTTTACAAAGTAAATGTGAACATGCTTCTCTGACATGTGCACCAAATGATATATGTGTTTGTTTGTTTTTACAGAAGCAATATTTGTTGTACAAATAGAACTCATGGGGGAAAACAGTTTGCGGGACTTTTAAATGCTGTTGAGACTGCCCGATTTACCATCTTTCGTCTTCAGAATTTTCCCTCTGCTTCTCATTTGTTTCGCTGCTTCCTCAGAAAGATTTCCATGAACAACAGAAACGCTCACCCCAGCCTTTTCAAAAACACGCCCATCCTGAAGTACGCAGCTGATGCCACCACCTCCTGTTTATAGAGATACAAAACAAAGAGAGAAGGTAAGGGTACATGCAAAATAAAAAACAACCCTTGTGTGAAGGTGGTGGGATTAGGAGTGATTTTCCTCCTCTAAACTGAGTATTTCTTCTACATCTAAAATAAATCACTGGAGAGGAGCCTGGGTGGCTCAGTCAGTTAAGTGCCTGACTCTTGATTTCTGCTCAGGTCATGATCTCAAAGTTTGTGAGATCAAGCTCCCACCCACAGGGCTCCAAGCTAGCTCCAAAACCTGCTTGGGACGCTCTCTCTCTCTCCCTCTTTCTCTGCTCCTCTACCAGGCAAACTCACCCTGTCTCTCTCTCAAAATAAATAAACTTTAAAAATAAAATAAAAATCACTGGAATATTTCCCCTTTAAATACTACTGTTCACAATGGCATCCATTGGTTATGATATAGGAAAGAAGTCCGAAGTTAAACACAGGTATGGGTATGTTTTAGGAATATTCTATCATTACCAAGTTTAAGAGCTCCATATTATTTCAGTTGTTTCTTCTCAGTGTGTTGTGTACCATTTAATTTTGTTTAAAGGCAATTAAAAAACAGTAGACATTCGAACTCTTCAGGGATTTGGGACCTTAAGCAGAATAAGATACACATTAATATTTAGGTATATGAGATTTACTATTAATAGTTTGTCTTTAAGACATTACAGTTACCACAAAGGCAGCTGTTCATGGAGGTACTTGTTTGTCTTTGTTTTATTTCTAAGAATTTTTAGAGCTGGATGGGACATAAGATTATCCAGTGCAACCCATGTACATTTCAAATGAGAAAATGAAGCCCAGGAAGACAAAACACGTTGTCCAACATCACACAGCTGGCAAGCGGTCCAATTTGCCTCAGTGCTTTCTATGTATCAGACAATACTTTAAGCACTTCTTATGTAACCATTCCTACATCCCCTCACATATTATCTAATCTCATTTCATAAATGAGGACACAGAGGCACATAAAAAACTAACTTCTGAAGACCACACAGCTACTCTAGTACTTGTGGTGGAGTCCTGGTTCAACGGTCTTCACGTGAAAACATTATAAGACGGAAAACTACAAAAGACCTGCTACAAAAGACCAGTTTTAACGTCACTTAATAGAGATGTGACAGCATCACAGCTCAAAATCTGCTGAGAAGGATGCTGAAGTATTCCTAGCTAAGAAGTCAGGAATTTTTCAAGTTTATGACCAAAATGTGGGGTTTCCCTACACAGGCAATAACATGGTCATAAATATATGATTCTATAAACACTGGATTATTCTCTGTTGAAGTATAATTGACATATAACATGATATTAGTTTCGGGTATACAACACAATGATTCAATATTTGTATACATTGCAAAATAAGTCTAGTTACCATCCATCACCACAGAGTTACAAATTTTTTTTCGTATGATGAGAACTGTCAAGATCAACTCTCTCAGCAGTATATGCAATACAATACTTTTGACTGTAATCACCATGCTGTACATTACATCATTATGACTTATTTATTTTATAACTGGAAGTTTGTACCTTCACCCATTTTGTCCATTCCCTTAGTCCCCTCCTAACTGCCAACTACCAATCTGAAGACGTGGGTTTTGCCATTGGAAGGAAAGACTGTCCTGGCAGGAAATCTGAGGGGTGCGTTTGGTAGAACTACTGACAAGCAGCAGTTGTGCAAACATTTCTTGTGCAACCTGGGGAAAAGATCTACTGACACAATGACACCCCCAACTGGAGGAGTCTGGCCAACACTTAGCAAATAGGAGGCAAGTTAATCTTTCCATCTCTAAAGGAGAATGGGAAACGCACCCAGAGAAGCGGATGAAATGTGAGGAAAATCGATGCTCAATTACAACTTTGGACATCCACGCCTGTTGCCTAAAAATAACCCTAAAACTATTATGAAAAATGCCATTAAAAAATCGCCTGGACTCTGTAACCTACAGTATTAGAGTGACAGCAGATCTGGATCCAGAGGTCTGCAAGCAGAGGTCTAATGACCCGTACAGGGTCAATCTCCCTAAAGGTGTCACTTCTAACCTAGCAGCTGCTCTGTGGGTACCCATTTCCTAGTCCCAGCCCCTATTCTCCGTCATCTGCTGCCAGCAGCCTAAATCCCGACCTCTAACCTCCGTCTCCACCTCCTGCTAAGCGCCGGTCTCCTCACCTTCCTTCCTCTCCCACCGGTCCACGGAGAAGCTGGCGCCCCCGTCTACCTGTGCCAGAGCCTGGCACACCTGGGCCTGGGTCTCCAGGATCAGCAGCTCCATCTTGGTCTTCATGTCGCTCGGTCTCCCCCGCAGCTCGCGCAGGTCGGTCACAGGCAAGGCCATGAAGCAGCTGCAGCGGCGGGCCAGATCGTCCTCTTCCTCAGGCTTCCCCGACGCAGAGGTCCGCGCCCCCGAGCTCTTGGGCACCATCTCAGCCCGCCGTACGTGCCCGAAGGCGGCGGCGGCTAGCCCCGCCAGCCCGGCCAGCCCCGCCAGCGCCGTGGTCAGCCCGGTCCCGAGCCGGGGGGCTGCTCCCGGCGTCCGGCTGTGTCCCAGCCCGCGGCACTGCTCTGTGCCCGCGGAGCCCGGGCGCCGGCAGGTGCGTCCGGCGGCGCAGCGCCCCGGCCAGGCGCACAGCTCTCCGCGGCCGCCGCGCGCAGCTCGCCAGCAGGAGCCCGCGCTCAGCCTGCCCAAGTGCAAGGCCATATTCCCGCGCTGTCACCCCTAGCAATGCCCACGTCCCGGAGATCGGTCCCTGAGCTCCTTGGAGGCCCCAAGCTGGGGAGCCGCTCTGGGAGTGGAAACCTTGGCAGAGAAGAGCTACTACCGGGTCGGTCCCCGGGCGGCCGGCGGGATTGCGGGGGATTCTGGGAGCTGTAGTCCAGCTCCTATCGTCGCCTGCAGGGGCGCGCCAGGGAGATAAAGAATCCACAGTCTCCAGAAGGGCGGGTCCAAAGACAAGGGAGCTCAATGCCGGAGGTGCGAGAGGGCTGTGTAAGTGAAGGCAGAGATAAGAGGCTTTCTAGTCACGTACAACCTCTGGTCGGCTGTCCAATCAGCTACAGTGTGTAGACAAAGTAGGGCTGGACCCTGAGACCCAGTAGGGCAGAAATATGGCCGGGGTCTCTCCTCAATTTACATTCACATTTTACATTTACAGTTTACAAATTACATTTTCAAACTGTTGCAAATCCTGTCTCTGAGTCTATACAGAACGCCCCTTCGTGTCCCGTTCCAGTCCAGGAGACCTTCTAGAACCTGCAGGATTGCCTGGGGGCAGAACCTGAGAGACTCCTTTTGTAACAGCTATTTTTAAAGGGAGTTGGTAAGGTAGTGAAGGGCTGCTAAGAAAATCCTAGTAAAAGACTTTAAGGGAGTTCATCATTACAATCTTTCCAGGTATTGATCCTGCACTAACCACTTGATTATTTTAGAAATAGGAAAAGCAAAGTGATCGTTTTACTAAACAAGCATAAAACTGGTGTGTTTGGGTGATCAAGAAATTAGATTAGACTTAAAAATACATATCACCCTACAGTTGCGGGGTGCTGCCAAGCATTTCTCACCTTTAGTACTTTCGACACTTGTGTAAGCTAGGTGTGGCAAACAAACATCTGCCCTGCTTCTTCCCTGCTACCACCATCAACACACACACACACACACACACACACACACTTTTCAAAAAAGATGAAAGAAGCTAACATAGATTTGACAGATTTTTGTTCTTATTGTTCCTGTAATATACCACAGTTCTATGTTGTCTGGACATAAAAGTGTTAGAAAGACTGTCATGGAATGATTTTAATTTCTAGTAGTAGATAATAATTTAAGCCACTTATAGTGGTCTCTAAAATTTTTTAGTGGCCAGATGCAGTGATGGAACTTCATCGCTATGGGTCAGACCAGTTGTTCAAACCAGTGTATCTTATTCATCCACAATTGCGTCTGGCAACTCTCCCACTGGGAAACAATGTCAGCTGGGTAGGCATGCTTGACTCCCTATCAGATTCAATAAAAGGTAAAGGTTTGGATTGAGAAGTGAATAGACTACGTCAGAGGAAGAAAACCATAGGATTTTAGCTATAGTGTAACTTGGTGGGAGACTGAGTTGCAGGAGGAAAGGGAAGATAAGAACTATCACTGCAGGAAGAGTTGTTTGCCTCTCCTAGGCGCCTGTGATAGGGTTTGGCTGGGCCTGGGGATAGCAACTGAAGCTCATTAATGGAATGTCTTTCTTAGTGCATTTTTCTATAAGAACCCCCCGTTCATTATCGCTCTGATTCTGAGAATACTCATAAAGCTAGGAAAAGATAAGCAGGCACAGGCTGGTTTGAACATATGCCCAGTCAGATAGTCTGGTCTTGAGCCAACTGTATACTAGTTTGCAGGTTTCCATCCCTCCCCACTCTTACCTCTCTATGCAAAGAGCTTGCTCTCCTTTCCTCTGGTTTCCAGAGCCCTCCCTACCCTTACCTTATTATTCTATGCTAAAGAAAGGCCTTTATAACTCTCAACCTTAAAAATAAAACAGCTAGCTATTTAATCAGCAAAAATGAGTTTATCTGGGCATAGCAGAGGAATTGCACTCCAGACATGCAAACTCCAGCACACCATAGGCAAGAACAATACAGAAGAACAAAAGAGAGGAGTTTCCGTATATAGAGGAAAGGAAAGGGGTTGTTTGGAAGGAAATTTCATAGGAGGAGAAAGAGAGTTCAGAGTTGTGGTGGCTTCTCATTGTTGCTGGGTGGGGAGAAAATCCTTCCTAAAGTGGTATGCAAAGTAAGCTGTAACTGATACTGAGTGAGAACATCCCTTAATTATTTCCTGACCTTATTTTGAATAGGGGTTCCTTTATTCATTTTCACACAGTCTGGTTAATGTGAATTTAAACTACCTTCCTGTGGGTGCAAATTGTCTCCAAGGGATTTAAGCCCTATTTTTCAGCATTGAATAAAAAAATGTCCCCTATTCAAGCAATTCCAAGAATCTGAAAGCTAGTGAGGACAAATAATAAGTTTATAATAAGTTATAAAACATAAGATGTAAGGTAGGGCTTCTCATCCTTTTTTGAGCCAGTTTCCTGCACTGCTTTATGATCCTACAAAGCAAAAAGATTTTGAATAGCCTTGTACAAAATCATGAGCCATATATATATATGTATGTATACATATATATATAGAATAAGATATGGACTTTTTGAAGAAGTGGACTTTTTGATATTTTTACTCTATTTTTTGGAATTTATCTTTTAACTGTTTAGGTCTTTATATATATTGTTTTATTTTAGAGAGAGAGAGAGAGAGAGAGAGAGAGAGAGAGAGTCTGTGAGTCAGGGAGAGGGGCAGAGGTAGAGAAAGAAAGAGAATCTTAAGCAGGCTTTATGCTCAGTGTGGAGCCCAATGCAGGGCTCAATCTCACAAACCATGAGATCATGACCTGAGCTGAATTCAAGAGTTGAATGCTTAACCAACCGAGCCACCCAGATGCCCAAAAATGTCTAGGTCTTTAGATACAAGTATTTACATATTTCATTAAAATAATAGGTTCTTAAGGTTAAATTGCTAACTTGCTTTTTCTTTAACTGAAGTAATTTTAAAATTAGTTTCTCATAGAGGTGTAGATCCCACCCAAAAATTCAAGAAAAGTTTTATGAAAGGGAGGAATTGTGGTGCCTGATCCTTAGTCCTTCACCTTTTGCCTTTTGCCCCTATATATTTTTTCTCTATAGTAATATGCATGTGGTATCTGGAGTTGCAGCAACCATTTTTTAAAATGTTTTTTTAAATTTATTTCTGAGCGAGAGAGTGAGAGGCAGCATGAGCAGGGGAGGGTCAGAGAGAGAGGGAGACCAAGAATCTGAAGCAGGCTTCAGGCTCTGAGCTAGCTGTCAGCACAGAGCTCGACGCGGGGCCCAAACCCATGACCATGAGATCATGACCTGAGCTGAAGTCGGACACTTAACCGACTGAGCCACCCAAGAGCCCCTTGCAGCAACCATTTGTAACAAATATTATAAAAATCACGTGAAAAATTTTGCAGAGCAGTAAGATAGAAGGAGCCTGGATCCTGATAACTTCCTTGAGTAGATGTAGTAGCCTTGGACTGGAGTTATTGTTATATGAGGAAAAATAAATAAATTAAGGTACTGTTTGTCAGATTTTCAGCACCTTCAGCTTAAGTCTTTCTAACATCCTAATTATTGCATCTCGATTCAATGTCTACACTGGAGCCAACCAAGAATGGCCAGAGGTATAGAGGATGGAATCATGTCAGAACATGATGACCTCCAGGGGTGTATGGTGGCTCAGTTGGTTGCTTAAGTGTCCAACTCTTCATTACTGCTCCAGTCATGATTTCATTGTTCATGGGTTTGAGCCCAGCATGGAGCTTCATACGGCAATGTGGAACCTGCTTGGGATTCTCTGTCTCTCTTTCTCTCTCTCTCTCTCTCTCTCAAAATAAATAAACAAACATTTAAAAAAAAAAAGTACATGATGACCTCCCACTATAATTGAGGGTAATGGTAAGTCTGGGATATCATTTTCGGAAAATAAGGGAAATATGGTAAGCAGACAATACCATTGATGCCCAATATAGAGACAGATTTTTGAAGATAATTCTGGGGTATTGAGCTTATGAATCTAAGATGAACAAAAATATGGAATTCAGAAAGAACTAGCACATTTAGGTGTGACAGAAGGTAATAGGTTTAATCTAGACAGTTATTAACAGTTATTTCTACCAGTCCAGCCAAAGCTATCCAGCTGTTCCATTTGCCTTAGGTACAGAAGCTTCCTGACCACCCCACCCTTTCACCATACAATGCTCTTAACAACCATTCTAGGAGGCTTAAGAACACTATGGGTCAACTGAAAGTGAGAGTTGTTTGGGAATATGTTGGGGACAACATGTTTGGGTATATGAAAGTATCTCTTCTGTTTAGGCAAGCTAGGGACAATGGGCATGGGGCAATAGGACATCAGACAGCAATAAGAAAGACATTTAACCGATGTCATGTGGCACTTTCAACTAATGTTATTTGCTCAAGAGATGCAGAGCTGCTTTCACTCACGTCATGGCAAATTCATCTCATCTGGTGAACTAGAAGCTTTTCTTGGAAAACACACATCAAGATTTTTAACTTAAGCCCATATCAACATCTTTTTAAACTTAGGTATCAAGAATCAGTTCCCTTTGTTCTCTGCATCTATCTAAACACTTTCTTCCATGTCTAACAGTTTAGCGAAGGCCGGAACCTGCTTCTAGAGATTGAATGAATACAGAGGGAGAAAAAGGCACATTTGAAATATTTTCTTTTGCTGCAAGACATGCTGAGATGCTGGTGGGTTACAAATGGAAATATGAATTCTGAGGAGTGAGGGCTGGAAGAGTAAAGATTTGTGAGATACCCATGGTGCTGGAATGATGGAAAGTTCATGGAGGAACTTTTAGAAGAAAAGGATAAAGGGTTCAAAGTCAGAACACAGGGAATAAGAGACATTTAGGGACAAGGGAAACAAGAAATCATAGGGTCTTTGGTGCCATGTCACAAAAGTATGAAGGGGAGAAGGCATCAAGGAGGAGAGTGGGGTCTGTGGGCAGAATCTGCACCCTCTGCTCAGAGAACACCTACACCTTACCAGGAACCAGGGTCCATAAAGAAGTTACTGCCCTTCTCCTGTCCTCCTAGAAACGGATATTCCATTTGAGCCACCAGACAGATAATCTCTCCCAGTGAAATACTATATAGAGGCAGTCCCCACTTTGCCTTGTACTTCAGGACCATAAAAATCACCATACTCACAGAAGCCAAACAGATCAATCTTAATGATCAATGTGAAAAAATTACGATTGTTCTGTGACCTTTAAAACTTTCTGCCAAAACACTAAGAACTCAGTTACTGTAGGTTAAAAATGAAAAAATATCAAAATTAATATTTATTTGGTACACTACAATTTAAAGGCTTAGAAACATTCAGAATTAAAGTGCCTTATTTCTCTGTGCTTATCAAGAATAGGTTGAAAAGTGCTGGTCTTCTTTTCTTATTCTATAACTTCTGACATGGAGTGACCATCTTTTCTATACCTTATTAGTGAACTGTCCGCTTTTCCTAAGTTTAAATCAGCTTCCAACATTTTGTCCTTTGTGCCTTGAAAGTTGTGGAATATCCCAAGACTTCCTTTCAGTTTTTATTTATTTAAGTAATGTCTACAGCCAACGTGGGGCTTGAGCTAATGACCTTGAGATCAAGAGTCACATGCTCTTCTGACTGAGCCAGCCAGGTGCCCTTCCCGCACCCCCAAGAGTTCCTTTAATGTGAAATTGTAGTTGTTTTATCAGCATCACTTCTGGCTTGCCATAACCACTTTATTCCTTTATTTTAACATGTTTTCATTCACCAAGTTCCTCTGATACTTAATTTTATGTCTGAACTTGGTTGTGGGCACGGTGCCCAGATGTTTGGTCAACATCAGCTTTTCCCTGGGTTTCCAGGCTGCTGGCTCACTGTGCAGATTTTTGACTTGCCAGCCTCCATAATCATGTGAGCCAGTTCCTTAAAATAAATCTCTTTACACACACACACACACATACACACACACACACACACACACACACACACCTTATTGACTATTTCTCTGGAGAACCCTCACTAATACAGTTCCTATGGCTGAATATCCAATTGTCTCAAAAGGTGGCAGTAACGAAATTTCCATGGCCAGCTGTTTCTTCTATAATTTCATGTACATTCAATTAGGATTTCACTTCCAGTGTTACCACTTTTTATTTCTTTACTACACTTTCATCTTTGATGGCCAATTACTGCTTTCCTTAATCCATTTTTGTTAACTGTCTTGTGGGCTTATCACTGAGAGACAAGGAAGCAACATAGCTACACACTTTGCTCTCTGTGCATAAACTGAATAATATATTCAGTGACCAATCACTAACAGACTTTCAGAAAAATAATATGATTGGTCAGCGAACATTGTGTGCCCCTGTTATTTATTATTTATTATTTATTATTATTGTTATTTGTGGACTGAAGAGCTAGCACAAATTTTGTACTTCGTGCAATTACCCATAGTTACATAATATGGTAACTGAAATTTGAACTTGTTTTGTTGGAAAACTGGTGGTATTTTACTAAGCCACAGTAACTAACTGTAATTTGTGCATATTGAAACCATGCAATGCAAGGACTGTCTGTATTTACCTTTAAACCAGTTGTCTAGATCTATAATTTAGAAACCTCTACCATGAAGGACCATAAAGCAAGGAAAGAAAGGTTCCCAACTGAATCAGCAGCATCTCTATAAAAATGCTATCATTTTATTAACTGGCATTCTTGAAATACCTGATACTTATTTTCTTGACTATTTTTCTGTGAGTAAGTGGGCTGCTTAGAGAATCACATAAGAAATGTCCAAATATAGGAAGTGGTTTGCCATAGAGACAACTACTAGGAATCCATTTTCCCTTTCTTCCTTTAATGATGGTACTTCAGGTTTAGTGGGGCATGTAGCTGCCTCACTAAGGACCGCATTCCTATCTTTTCTTATAGCTTTTAACCAGATTCTGGCCAGTGGGTTATGAGCAAAGCTGTTGTATGCCACTTCTGGGTTTGTCCTTTAAGGGAATGTATGTTCTCTTCCCTGGCCTTTTCTTCACTGGCTGGTATACAGAGGCAAGAGCAGGAAGTGGAACAGACCCTTTGAACCCAGAAATGGAATCTGTGTGTGGAGTGTGGGGTGTCAGAACTCCACTATGTAAATTACTATCTCTGGACAGTTATATCAGAGAGAATAAATGTCAGTCTTGTTTTGGCCATTACAGTTTAGGGTCTTTTGTTACAAATATTTAACTCTAACCTAAAAAACTACATGGATGGCTTCCTGTTTGGGAATAAGCAATAGCCTATCACAGAAATACAGGGGATTTACACACATCATACTAAACAGTTAATGGATTATCCTCCCATCTAACTTTAAGGAGGACAAGAGAAAACAGATGGGCCTTAGTCTAATCCCCTTCTGACATAACAAATTGAGTGGGACTTACTGAGGACAATTAATGATGTGATGAAGCCACCACAGATAAGATGAATAAAATCAGCCTCTTGCACAGAGAGGTTTTGGTTTTCCATTTAGCACTTACTGTGTGCACTAAGGATATGAGCCTAACAACCAGACTTGTTGGATTGGAGCCTTCCAATATTTAAATTGAATTCCCAGGAGCTATTGAGGTATGATGAGAGAGACAGTTATCTGACAATATTTATATAATACTTTTGTGACAAAAATCAGTTTAAGATAGCATTAATAAGACTCTGACATGTAAGTTATTTATCCTAATACAGCCCTTAAAATTTGTACATGATGAAATTTGGCTATTTTGTACAAAATGATAAAAGATCAGATTCAACACCAATAAATGTGTAATGCTCAGATGAATACACTAGAGGGCACTCATCTACTATTTTCTATTTGAACAAAATTTACAGTAATGGTTTTCAAATCAGTGCGTTAAGAAGAATCTTAGATTCTTGCTTAAAATGTATACCTTTGGGCTGTGGAGAGGCCTGTGAATCTGCATTTTTAATGAGAAGCTATAGGAGAGCATGGTAAAGAGGATGACTTGTGGAGCCTGCCAGGGTTTGAAACCTGGTTATGATACTTGTGAATGTGAATAATTAGTAAACAAACCTCTGCGCTCAGTTTCCCATCCATCAGATGAAGTTAGAAATAGCACTTATCTCTTAGGGTTGTTGTAATGATTAAATGAGCCAACTTAAAACATACAACCTAGTGCCTGGCCATCAATATTCATTCTATTTTACAAGCATTATTTTTAATAAAGACGTTCACTGATTTTGTTGTGGGAAGATTTGAAAAATATGTGACTACATCTAAAAGGAAAAAAGATATACTCTTGATACTCTATGCCGCTAGGCTAAGACTTCAGGTTCTGCCCCTCGCTGAGTGATAATGGAATGGCAGGAACCAAAGGTGCAGGATGAATGAGGCAAAAGAAAGCTCACCTTTGCATGTTCTGCCAAAGAACTGATACTGTATTCAGAAGTCAGTGGAAATCCTTTGCAGGCACTGAGGCAGAAGGTGGCATGATCAGATTTATGTTTGAGATAAATCATTCTGTAAGCAGAGTAGGGGGTAGAACATGAGGGGTGAGGCTGGATAGAAGAAGCTCAGGAAGATGTAATGCTGTTCCCTTTTCTTCCCAAAGAAGAGTCTCTATAAAGCATTGGGATTATTCACATTAGTGACTCTAATAATAACAATTTGAACCTTATAAATCCTTTCTTTTTAGGATTCTCCCCACTCCCCCGATGACTTACATGCACAATATAGTATACAGTACCCGGTAGGCATGCTGTCTAGGTTTTGAGGCAGCAGATCCTGCAAATAGGACTATAGAAGCTGCTGTCACCAAGGAAAAACCAGACTACTCACCACAGCACCAGAAGCTCAGAAGAGAGGTACTTCTGCATCTCACTTGGCGATCCTATAGATGGGGGCGGGGAGGGGGGTAGATTTCCAGGAACCATGGCAACTTTGAAGTGTTTGACTTAACAGGAATAAACTTCAGTTCTGAACTCTCATATTCCCTGCCAATGTGGGAGGAGCCGCTGGAGGAGTGGGAGAGGCAGGGGAGGATTGGAGAGCTAAGGTCACAGTCTCCTCCTTGGCTCTGCCTGGAATTCACCAGCAAAGTTCTGCTACCAGTCAAATTACAAGGGTCAACTGTGCCAGGGAAAATAGCTACCTGAGGAGTGGCTGTATGACTTCATGAGAAAGGAATTTATCCCTGGGGGCTGCTCTGCTGTATCAGTTCCTGCTTGTGCACTCACCCAAGCATTGTATCTAGTCTCTGAGTCTCTTAGAAACATATCTGTTTTTAAGTCTCTGAAAACATGCAAAATGTAAATAGATAAAAGAGCTCTTCCCTCTGTTACAGTTTTTAAGACTGCAGAATCATAAGCTATTATCTTAGATTGAGATAGAACCTAATCCAATGGCTTTCAAATTTGTTTTGGTATCAGATCCCTTGAAATGAAATCCTATGAAAAAGTCTAATTAATATGTGAACAAAAAGAGTTGCTTCTATTGAAGGTCGTTTCTGGCTGGCAGTGCCTCTCCTGGTTGTCATACTTCCAACAGCCTATCATGTGACTTCATTCTTTAAATCCTTAGAACCTAGGGAAGCAAAGGTTATGATTAAACAATTCTTCCATTTTACAAAGGACAAAAATGAGTCCCAGCGAGGTACTGATTATTTGGGTAGAGTGTAAAGGTAATGAGGGCATGCATAGAAATAAAACTGAAGTTACTATTCAAATTCATGGTGGAGAATAGAATTTGGAAAGGATTTTCTTCATGGTTTCTTTGGAGTTGGATCAGTGCATCAAGAAGAACAAGACAAATTGGAATGTGTGAGGAGTGAGGACAAGATTTGACTTAGACCCAGAGAAGGATTTCCAATAGGAAGAGATATAAACTTTGGAAGTTTGGTGTCTCCTGCCTGGAATTTGTTTAATGTAGCAAAGCTGTTTATCTGTCTAGACAGAATCAAAGCAAGCGAGCTTTGAATTATAGTCCTGCATTGAAGTGGAGACCTTCAGCCCTGCCATTAGCCACCATCATCCTTGGCATTATCAAACATGCATTAAAGGTCCTTACCAGTTAAATACAGAGGCACTTTTCCCATTGGACACTGTTTGTGAAGGTCAGTAGTTTAGACAGAAGACAACGGGGCAATTTCCTAATAATTCATGGGAGAAACTTCACCTAGTTCCAACCTGTAGAGGCTGCTTTAAGGCAGCAGGCTTGAGCAATGGAAACCTGAGCAAGGCATAAGGGCCCATGACAACCACTTGCTGAGTACAAACAGGCTCCTTAAGAGACACACCTCGAAATAGCCATAGGCCCTAACTGACCGATGACAACCAGGCACAGTTCCTAAAATTAACAAAAAAAGGAAAATTCCATACATCCCCATACTCCTTCACTCCATCTTTTAACTATAGCCGCTCTTCACCGCCTCGGGATAGACAGTCTCTCCTTTGCTGTTCTGTCCACCATTCCCTTACAGTGTATTCAATAAACTTCTCTCTCTTTTGTTCTGCCTTGGGTGAATTCTATCACTGGCCCATGCCACTGCCCCCCACCCAGCTGGGACGCTCCACATTTGGTGCCCCCCCCCATGCAAGTGGAGCACTCCACACAATCTTTCTCACTTTCTTTTCTATGTTCAAAATCAGACTCAAAACTTACCTGGTCCAGGAAATGTGTACCCACCTGATTCAGTTCATTATTGTGTTGAGCAACTTATATTCTTTTTTTATTTTTTTATTCCAGGGTGCTATTTTATTATTTATTTATTTATTTATTTATTCTCAAGTTAGTTAACGTACAATGTTGTCTTGGCTTCAGGAGTAGAATCCAGTGATTCATCACACACATATAACACCCATTGCTCATCCCAACAAGTGCCCTCCTTAATGCCCATCACCCATTTATCCCTCCTCTACCCCCCTCCATCAACCCTCAATTTGTTCTCTGTATGTAAGAGTCTCTTATGGTTTGCCTCCCTCTCTGTTTTTATCTTATTTTTCCTTCCCTTCCCCTATGTTCATCTGTTGTTTCTCAAATTCCACATAGTGAGTAAAATCATATGATATCTGTCTTTCTCTGACTGACTTAGTTTGGTTAGCATAATACTCTCCAGTTCTATCCACGTTGTTGAAAAAGGCAAGATTTCATTCTTTTTTATTGCCAAGCAACTTCTATTCTTAACTTACCTCACTGAGGTAATCTTTCAATAAGAAAGATTTCTCAGTGTTTTTATATGAATAAAAGGAAGTAAGACATGCTAGCTGTTTAGCACAGTGCCTGATAGAAGTTATTTAAAAATGATTAGTTTCTTCTCTGGGATGAGTCTCTGATAGACCAACTTAATAAAAATTTGAAAGAGGTTACATTTTTCCATAGGTATCTTCCCATCTTTTCTTTTAGAATCCACTCTAATTCTGGGCTGTCTTAGTCTTTATTTCTTCCCTTCTCCTCTGCCTTTCTTTTTATTCTGGAATAACTATGATAAATTTTCATTAATGTGGAAATTAACTGATTTGTTAAGGACAAAGTGGAGAATGAATCAGACACCAATATTCAGTACTCTAATTTGCCTTTAGTTACAAAATTTTTAGAATTGCTTTCCCTTAGACATTCACAGCAGAAGTGTTTGTTTCTCATGACTGTTACACCTCTAGATGATTAAATAACATTTTTTATCTGTAAATAATTAATTCTATAGCCCTGACCAAGGCTAAGTGTCTCTGTAGATCAACATTTGGTCAATCCAGACCAGCTTAAATTAACCCAGGTTAGTGAAGTGGAAATGCTAGAACTGGAAATTTTAACACCTGAAATGAAAAATTCAATGAATGGGCTTCACAACTGATTGCAGACTTTATAGAAAAGAAATTGATAACTCAAAGACAAATAGAAATTATCATTCAAATTCAATAGAACTGAACAACAGGACAAAAACGAAATAAGGATGAACAGAGCCTCAGTGAGACTCAGTTTTGTGAGACAATATCAAGAAGTTTATATATCTTTGTAGTCAGAGGAAGAGAAAGTAGGGGTGTGGGGGAGAAGGGAGGAAATGGGCAGAAAAAATATTTGAGGAAATAATGGACCCCAAATTCCCCAAATTTGGTGAAAACATCAGTTCACATATATAAGAAACTCAGCAAACATTAAGTAGGATACATACAAAGAAAACCACACCCGGAACATTGTAGTCAAACTAATGATCACCAAATAAAGAGAAAATCTCCAATGAAACTAAAGATAAAAGGCATATTTCATACAAAAATAAAAATAATATGAAACAATGGCTGAGTTCTAATGGAGACTATAAAACAATGAAATTACATACTAGAGTTCCAATAGAAAAATATCAGTCAATCCCAAAGTTTACATCCAGTGAAAATCTTCCTCAAAAATGAATATAAAATACATTTGCAACTAAATAAGAGCTGAAAAAAATTAATCACTATTAGCCAATCAAAGACTACTTTTTTTAATACTTTTTTTTGAGGTGGGGGGAGACGGAGAAAGGAGACAGAGGATGCAAAGCATGGGCTCTGTACTGACATCTGGACTGATGTGGGGCTGAAGTAAGGAACCGTGAGATCATGACCTAAGCTGGTCAGACACTTAACAGACTGAGACACCCAGGGGCCCCTTAAAGACTGCTTTTATTTCTTTTTTTTAATGTTTTATTTATTTCTGAGAAAGAGACAGGCAGCGTGAGCAGGGGAGGGTCAGAGAGAGAGGGAGACACAGAATCGGAAGCAGGCTCCAGGCTCTGAGCTAGCTGTCAGCACAGAGCCCGATGTGGGGCTCAAACCCACGAACCGTGAGATCATGACCTGAGCCGAAGTAGGACACTTAACTGACTGAGCCACCCAGGTGCCCCTACTTTTATTTCTTAATTTAAAAAAGAAACTACCTGTTTAAAGCAAAAATAACATTGTATTATTGGTTTATATATATATATGTTTATATATATAAAACATATGATAACATTAGCATAAAAGGTGAGGGAGGGAATATATTGGATTATTCTATTGCAATGTTCTTAACTTTACCTGAAGTGTTATAATATTAATTCAGTGTAGATTGTGATAATTGAAGGATGAATAATGTGATTTCTAGAATACCACTTAAAAAAACAAAGAGAGCTGCAAATAATAGTAGAGAAATAGATAAGATAGAATGCCAGTTTTTGTTTATTAATTCAAGAGAAGGGAACAAAGGAGGAACAGAGAAACAAAAACAAATGAGAGAAATATAAAATGAACTACAAGATGGATTTACCTGTTCATCTCGGATAGAAAAGAAATGCTCCATTTTGTGAACATCCTAATCATTCTCACAGAATTTGTTCATATACCTTGCACCATAGTTATTTGTATACAATTTGTTCCCTCTTACTAGACCACAAGCTCTTTGAGAATGAGAACCATGGCCAAATGGAAGAAGAGAATAAAAACTATGCAGACCTTCAAGTTCACTAAAGATTCCGTTGAAGTGTCTTCCATGTGACTAACTTGCTTCCATGTGAATTAAACAAAAACCCAAATGAGTAGCAAAGGGTAAGTTTGAGCTATCTTTACATACACACTTGTCATATTTCAAATGAACTTTTTGCCCCACTGGCCAATTGACTTAATGATTTCTACATGGTGCCAACTGATCAAAAGTTCACAAAAACTACCTCCAAACAAGATGGTAAAGAAGCTTCTTGTTGATTAAGGCCAATTCCAACTAACTGGTTGTGTGGCCACATCACACTCAACAGTGAAGAACATCACAATTGCCTCTTGTCAGCCATGCGTACAGACGGGAGAAGTAACAGCACACCTGGTATGTAGCATGATCCTGACTTAGTGTCATAACGCTAATGTTTGCTGTGACTACAGTCCCTGGATTTTCCAGAACTGTTGCATAAATACACTCTAATTTATCAGATAATGTGTTCAAGTTTAAGGTTTAGAGAATATGATCATCATATTTATCACAATATTATTCACGAGAA